CAAAAAGAAACATATAAGTTTAGGGCTTCTGCAGATGACTTGGTGTTAGTTTTGGAAGATCCTTTAAAGAGAATTGAAATATTAATGGGCAAATTAAAAGAATTTGTTGCATTAGCATGTTTCAAGATTAATAAATAGAAGATGAAGATGCTAACAAAAGATATGAAGATCAAGCAGAATTGATGAATAAAATGGGCTTAACGATTGAAAAGAAGGTAAAATATTTGAGTATCATTATGACAAATATGAATTGTATGTTATTTCAAAATAATGTTAAGACATGAAATGAACTTAAAAATTAAAGTGGCTTATCTTGGGAGCTAATCTGTAAATGCCTAGAAATCTGTTATGGATCCAGGATTATCTAGTAAGCTGCAAAGGTATCATGTTTTCCACTTATATATGAGGAATAGTTTCATTTATGAAGAATCTGGTCCTATCTATACCATTCTTGTTTCAGTCCTTGTTCCATCTCATGAAAACAAGAAATTGAAATTTGAAGATCTGGATCAATCAGTTTTCCATGTTTAAAGAGATTGGGGTAATATTCCTCTATATATTTATTTTGGAAGAAGATTAAATTCATTTAATTTTTAATATTTATTAAAATTGAAAATTACATGAGCTAATCTATATTATGAACAGGGAAGCCCCCAATACTGGTACAAAAGTTTATACTGAACTCTCATTATCATCCTCCTAGTTTAAGATAAATCAGACTTCAATATTACAGGGAGTGTTGCCGGACCATGGAGGTCACTTGTCAAACTCACAACAATCTAAATCTAATCTGTAACTGACAAAGCTGATCGCTTTCAGATTCAGGGAAAGTCTGTGCTAGCAATAATTGTGTCCCCCTAGGCCAGAGCAGCGTTTTCTGATTTCTTGGCAAGACCATATATAAATCTAATTCCACAGAGCTCACCTTTCTACTGCCAAAGGACTTATGGGGTTGGATAAAGAAAGAGTCAGCCTCAAGGAAATAAAAGTTTTTTTCCCCCAAGGAACTCCCATTAGAATTTTTCTTGCTGCTTTGTAGAAGAGATGTTATTCTCTCACAACTTACCCAAATTACCAAATGCATATTTTAATTCCTTAGCCAGTATATATTTGGAGGGTGCTATCTTAAACTAAAAGCAAAATAATAATGCAGCTAACATAAATTCCCACTCGCTGATCATTGATCCTGCAGTATTTGTTTATAGCCAAACCTACTTGTAGATGTGTGTGTGTGCGCGCGCATCTATATCAGAGAATTTTCTGTCTTATTTCAGCCATCCTTACAACTAAGCTATCCAGTAGATCAGTTTTAGCTGTTGTAATATTGAGATGATGGGCTGAGCAGAGGCATCCAGTACAAGCTAGAAGACATCATATGTAGCATGATGTCATTTCACAAAGGATACAAATAATGACATCAGCATCACTTGCATGATGATGTCATGATGCATATGACATCTCTAGTTCCCTTGGCCCACCCCTGCTCTCCTTTGCAGGCACCCACAGAGCTAAAGCCGAGAGACCGCTTGTTGCCTAAGATCACCTGGGGAATTTCTGGCTATTCACAGCTCCCACTTGTAAACTCTCAACCCTACGCTGCGCCAGCTTTCAGAAACTAAGAGACTCCATATGTTTGTATTTTAGGCAATCTTAAATAGAAACATTCAAAGGATATGAAAAAGATTCACAGGCTAGCAAATTCAAACAAAATGAAAGAAAAACCCGCATTCAAAACCCATCCTTGCCAAGTGCAACTTTTCTAGTTACCCACTTTAAATGATATTCGAGTATTATGGAAGGCATGCATAGCAGGCATGGAAAAGGCATTCCAGGGGAACACCCTATCATGTTGTTCATGCATGACAGCAGCAGAGTCATTCTGTGTTTACAGGGAAAAGAGAGACTACCTTAGCTTAACAATTACATATCACCCATAATTTTACCCCATTTTTTCTAACAGCATGTTTTTCAATGCAGTAGTTTTGAAAGCAGCCATCATAAAATCAAGGTCAACCTCTATTGCTGGGCTGAGCTGAGTAAGAATCTGATCATCTCAACATACGTTCAACAGCTGACTCTGGAAACATCAGAAATATCATGCTGAATGTAAGCAAAGATACCAGTCTTAAACACAAATCAGTACCATCTTCAAATGGCACCCTTTCCTGGAAATACCAGCTGCCACTGAAGACTGAAAGAAAGCAGGGGAGGAGAGTAGCTCAGCACTGCTGGGATTTAATCCTGCAGCTCAAGTGGTTGTTGGTCCAGTTAGTAAAAACCTCAAGTCATCTTGGGGAGGAGGAGAGGAAGGCGAAGCCTCAGAATGACTCATTTGTGTTTCCAAGTATCACATAAGCAGTGATTACACAGCAGCTTCTCCTGCAAAAGAAACAGAAAACCCCCCAGGTTAAATCCACAATATATTTCAAAAGCATCACGGCTGCATCAAGAGGTTATACTGAATCATAGTTTAGTGTCAATACATACAGGGTGTCTGCAGGGTGTGGTCAAAAAAGGCAAGATGTCAGCCACAATGGTACATATGGAACATGTATGTTTAGCTATGATCACTGTTAGACCAGCCCAAGGTATTTTGTAGACCAGGGTAAGACAGTGCTCTGATATTTTGGCCATTCCATACACAGAGCTGATTATCTCAGAAGTGACCATCCTTCTACCATACCTGAGAGCAGCAGGCTAGTTTAGGATTTAGCACAAATATTGTACACATAATCCTGCCTTCCAGGATCTTATCTTGTGGTCTGCTTCATGGCTGGAGACCTCTGCTTTGATGCTGGCAGAATTCTGCCTTCTGTTGATACAGACAAACACCATAATTACCATTATTTGGAACTGGGGAGTGTTGGGAATGAAATAGTGGAGATCTAGTGGAACATGTTATGTGTCATCTGTGAGGCTTCTCAGTTCTGGAAGAGAGACCAGACAAAATCTAAACCATAAGAAATGAAAATATCTTTCATGAAAATTTTCAGAATTATTTTTTTCCTATGCCTTCAAGTCAGTGTTGACTCCTGGCAACTGCCTGGACAAGTCTCTGTAGTTTTCTTGGCAAGATTTTCAAAGTGGTTTGCCATTGCCTTCTTCCTAGGGTTGAGAGAGAGTGACTGGCCCAATGTCACCCAGGTGGCTTTGTGGCAAAGGCAGGACTAGAATTCACCATCTCCCGGTTTCTAGCCTGATGCCTTAACCACTACACTAAACTGGCTCTATAATAATCCACCTAGGATGGGATTGTATCATCGTAGAAAGCAAGCAGAGGTTACTTTTTGTATGAAATCCTCTCTGCACATTACAAATTAACTTAAGAGTAAGGCAAACTAAATGCTGTCTTCCTGACTGGAAGTTTTTATTTTCTCTTTTTAATAAAAGAATATAAATTCCAACTGTGACTGCCACAGTCCAGGAAAAGCTGCTCGATCACCATTTAAAAAGGAACACTATTTGAATCACAGTTTGAAAGATAATTTCAGGGGTTTCCTTTTTCATATTTTTGCACATTACCCATTTTACCAAGCAAAGAAATACCCCAAAGTGAAATGTTGTCTTGACTTGATTTCTTTTGAGTAAGAGATTATTTGAGATTTAGGATATTCTGTGCAAGCTGTGCAGGCAAAGGGGAAGAATGTTTTGAAAAAGCATTAAAGCCTGCACTGCCACACTTAGTCTGAGCAAGCTTGCGGATTGTGATCTTTATCCTGGTTTAACTAACTGCAAACATCTTTGTACCTCTTTACAAGCAGAACACTAGCGAGGCATACAGGAGGTATTCATACAAGACAACACACCTATTATTTCACATCTGATCCCCAGAAGGAGACAACTCCACAGATGTTTCTCTACCAGTTGTCCTTCCTTCATATAATCAAGTAGTCTCATGGGGTGGGGGATATAGACTATCTATAGTACCATCATGTTCCTGCTAAACATGGTCCTTGCCATGCATATTTTGGAGGAGAAAATTCAAGGTAGTCAGGGGATTCTACTTGATTTAGAATCTGCATGATCAGAATTTTAAATTGCATATAGAAACTCCCCACCTCAGACCTTCAGTCCCACTTCAAGGGGCAAAGTTTTTGTGTGGTTTTTCATTCACAGGCAACCATATATTCACTTTGCTAAAAGTTGGTTACTTTCCTCAAGCTTTACAAATATTTCAATAGGAAGAGATTGTGCGGGAAGGATGTTTCCTCTGTCTTATTCCACTGATGTGGCAGTATCATCAGCAAAAACACTGCATTAGATTTTACCCTATATATTCTTTTACAAGAAAAGCTATCCATTCTAACTCTAAAATGTACTCTGAGACTGTTGTGATGGTCTTTTAAAAACTATGAATGGATTAGCAGTCAGCATCACCAAGCAAGACAAAAGAGACATTGAGTGTGTATTATATTACAACATTTCTGTTTAATTTTGCTCTCTGCCTGCCAAGAGACCTGTGTGTTCTGCCTAATGCTGGAATCAGATCTGAGAAACTGCTAGCTTTTGCATTTTTTCCCTAAAACACGTGCAAGTAACTTACTATTGTTTCTTTGTTCCAATACTTCTGTGTATGATCTGAAATCTGTTTTGCACTCTGTACAATCTAATCTAAATTAGATTATATCTAATTAAGTCAAAGTAATACACTTTGACCTATCCATCATGGACTCCCAGCAGTTAACAACAATAAGAAGCTTCAATATTTTACTCACCCTTAGGAGATACTTTAACCTCTGGTGGCACTTAGCTTTCTTTCCCCAGTACAAGAAAATGCCTTTATATGATACTTACAATTGTTTCAGATATAATTAAGGTTTGGGATCAGGATCTAAATATGCTCCTCCACTAAGCTAAGGTGCATTTATACAAAACAGCATTGTATTTATTTTTTTTTTATCTGCACTCAGTCATTACTGACTCTGCAGTGACTGCTTTTGGGACGAGTCCTTTGCAGTTTTCAAGGCAAGGTGTTTCGGAAGTGGTTTGCCAGTGCCTCCTTCCTAGAGCAGAGCCCAGCTGGTGAGCGCAGGAGGTGGGGTTTCCGTTGCTTCATGCCTTTTTGGGGGAGAGTGCGGCTTCTGCACTACCGGCAACTGCTCCCGACTCCTTTTGCAAGGCACCACCAGCATTTTTCCTCCCACCGGAGTGAGAGTACCCATTTATCTACTCACGTAAGTTTTCGAACTGTTG